TTAAGCTAATATACCTTTCAAGATTCTTAGGTTAAAAATGGAGGTCCAGGAAGAAGCAAGGTGGAAAAAGCTTTCCACAAAAATTTCATATATTTTTTTTATTTTACTTTCAAGCTTCCTCTTTGCTTTCTGAGAGCTAAAACGAATGAAACTTAAGATTTCACTCTTCCTTCTTTTCATTCTGACTATTGAACATCATGTTATCTTCAACCTTTGAAAGTAAATTCCCCCTCTCCCCCCCTCCAGTGGGGGAGAGAGGGTCATAAACCCTCCTATTCCCATAATTTAAAGGCATCTGACAACTCCACCCTGGCCAAACCCCTGCCACAGCTCAGGACATTGTGTCACCCACCAGCACCTTCTGCGGGCACAGTCCTTTTCTCCAAAACCCTCTGAGGAAGGAAAGTCCACAGGGTTCTTCAGGTGCACATCAGATGCCACTGGTCCAGAAATTTTCCAAGGAAAATTATTCTGACCTTTCCTCATCCACTATACTTTCTAAGCCTTCTATTATCACTGCTGTTCTATAATTCTCCACTTGCCTTTTTTTTTTTTTAAAAAAGTCTAGTTCCCAAAATTATTTGCAGCATGCTAAGATTAAGGTACATCAGAGCCACCTAATGATATTCAAATCCTCATAGAAGTCTTCTACTAATACCTCCCTAAATGAGTTTTTTTTTTGGCTCATATTGGCTGGGATAAATAGTTCTCCAGATTCTGTCACACTGCTGAGTGGAGTTACAGCCACACTCCATCACCTACAGCAGGATATGCATCTTCTGACCTCGCATCAGGTAGGAACTTCAGATGCAAAGTGTCCTCTTAAGCCATTTAATACAAATGCACGATCCTTCCTGTAAGAATTGGAAGCCTTTTTTTTTTTTTTTTTTTGTCTGTTTCATAAGCCCCCCTAGGATATCTGTAGATGCCATGAGATCTCAACAGACACAGGGAAAGACTTCAGGTCTTCCCAGGTTAAGGCAAGCCTGGTGGGACTCCAGACCTGCCAACGTTGCATTAATGGGCTCCATTTTCCTTCTAAATACCAGCATTAAGACTACAGACTGCAGAGCACTGCTGGGTGCGAGCACAATGATTTAGACCTGAACCAAGTGAACAGCCTGCCACGAGGGAAGTCTCTTGCCCCGGGATGTAAATTTGCCACTTTGATGTGACATTGACAGCTCTGCCTCCGTAGGTTTGCTTACAGGCCACAGGAGCTTGCAGATGTTGCCTTCCCCCCAGGAGGGCTCCACGGTTGTGCCCGGAATGCCGAACCATATGTTCCTCTCAGATGCACAGAGACATTCGCGTGGCCATTATCGGGAAGGGAGGCACAAGCCCCATGCTTAGATTTAAAAAATAAAATAAAATAGAATAAATAAGGAAAGATCTCAGGAGGAGAAGCTCAGCGGGAGCCCTGCTCACTGCTGGGAGAGAGGTGGTGTTTAATGCCATCTCTGAGCCGTTAACAATATGGTATCAGCCAGAAGCACAGACTAGCATTCAAGAGCACCAGCTGGACAATTTTTCTGGCAAATAATCTCATTAGTTAATTTTTCCTGAACAACTTAATGAGCAAAAGATGATGAAAAATGCCTTTAGAAATGAACCTTTTTTTTTTTTTCCCCAAAAAAATATCTGCAAGTGAAAGAGTGCTATAGCTTAAGCTGAAGTGACCCAGTAGCATCGAAGCTTTCCCTCCTAGGGACCATTACATGCTCCACTAACAATTTATCACAGTGCCTCAGTGAATGTCCCCATAACTGAACAGTGGCTCAGGGTTTTCACATTTAGCCCCGTAGCCTCACGTGGCCAATCCCACACACGGGTCCAGGAGCCTATGGCAGGGGGCCAGGCAGCCCAGGGCTCTGTGGGTGAATTCTCAGAATGAGCTTTCTTGTCAGTGGATGCACTGAGTTTTTTCCTTGCCTTTTTTTTTCCCCTATTTTATCCAATTGCTCTGTCAAATTTTCTGACAGGGGAGCGTTCTGTAACTGTGCGGGTGGGACTACGCAGCAGTGGGCCATCCAGCCCAGGCCCACTTGTTTCATAGGACAGAAGGACAGGTGGACAGGCCTTCTGCTGTGCTTTATTGTCAGCTGGACACGGGCTGTGCCTGCAAGCCAGCACCCGCTGCACTTCCCAAAAGGGTGGTCAGAGACACTGAAGCCTCAGAAGCCCCTGGGAGGAGCCTAAAGACTTTAATTCCATTTTAGAGATTTCCTACCTGGCTTAATCTCCTCAGGCAAGCGTACAGTGAGATCTCCCTGCTTGGCCAGGGAGCTACTATTCCTCTCAGCCCAAATTTGATTTACTTTGCTGTTCCAAAGTGAGGGAAATAGGTGAGCTGTGAAGTCAGAGGATGGCACTCAGTGCTCCTGACATTTGGGATGAACAAAGCCAATCTTGCACACCATAACCTCAGCAACCAGGGTGGAAGCACCAGCGTTCATTCCCAAGGCACTTCACTGCAGCCCAGTCACTATTTACCTCACTAAGGGCTCTTTTTCTCAATTTTTTCTCCTTGATTTCTGTTTTCACTCCCCCCAAAATTTTTCAGAATATGAAACTCAAAAAAGGCCATATAGCAGCATAGTCATAAAATTTATCTTCTGGAACTAGCAAGCTAGACAAAAATTGTTTAAACACAACAATATATTACGGCAACTTGGAAGATTAAGGGCTCCCTTACATCTGTGTAGCCAGAGTCTTATCACTGATACTGCCTTTCCTGCAATGCTGAAGTGATCACCACAAACAACATAGTTTTCCAACTGTAATACATTAGTCACAGCTACATCAGTACATCACTAATTCATACTGAATATATAATACAGATTTACATAAACTGGGGAGTTTTTGCCCAACAGAGCAGCCCAGCACTGTGACTGGAGCACACACAGGCCTGGGCCCTGTGCAGGCCCCGGCCTAGCTGGGAGGGCAGGGAAGGGGCAGGCAGGCCGACCACCACAACGCACCCAGCATCGCCTGGTTGGGCTCAGCGTGCCACACACCCAACAATTTGGGGAGCAACAGGCAGGGTTAGGTGGTAAAGCAGCATCTAGAGCTGTCAGAGTCAGTGTGAGGAGTGCCCTGGGAGCAGGTGCCTGCACACAGCCCCGTCACAGCACAACGATGCTCACCAGGCTGCACGAGGATGGTATAACAACATTATGGAGCTGCGTGCATCCTGCCCACATCAGGCTCTAACACCTAAATACCTAATAGGCTCTAACACCTAAATAACCTAAATAAAGATCCATGCCAGGTCTGCCTGACCCACCTGCAGCAGTCCTCCCAAAATGACTTCTGCCAAATAAGCAGCAGGTGTTGCAGGCTACGCAGAAGACCAAGCTCCTGGTCACAGGAGCTCTTTCTGTATTACTAATCTGTTAAAACAGGAATCTGAATCCACAGAATGCCAGCTTGTAAAAAAAGAGGAATATTATGGTTAAAAAAAAAAAGTTCCAGAATTTCTCTGCTTCGTAACCCATCCTTGAAACTTGCGCTCACATCTGAACTGGCTTATTCTCTGAAAATATTCTATGCAGAAATCATTTACTCTTCTTCAGTGTTAAGTGACCATGGTTTTTCAGCTTCCACTGTGCAAAAAGCAGCCTTGACCTTCAAATAATTTCTCTGGCACCTTCTCCATATGCACATCCTTCTTTTAATGCAACTACATACACAGCCACCCACCACAGTATGTACTTGCATGTTTCTAAAACCAGACTACAGAAAATAGTTAATTATATTTTAATTGAACATATTAGACAAAACCCTGAACAATCTGCACACCATATTCATTTTTAGCTAGAAAAAAAGCCATTCCGCTTTCTTTCTGAGAGTATAATGGAAAGATAAAGTGTGCTCTTTTCAAAATCGTAACCTGTTTCATAGCTTTTTTTTAATCCATCTATGCCCATTGGCAATCTGCTACTAAACTCTAGCAAAAAATGGTTAAATAACAGCATTTAAGAGATATTTTTCATGATACTCATAGTGCATTTTTTCATTCCTTTTCTAACCTCATCTGTTCCAGATTTAAGCAGCTCTCTAATGAACTTGAAAATTAATGCATAGATCCAGCTACCAGTTTGGCTGGAGCATTGCAGTAATTCTGTTGATTTAATGTCTGCAATTCTATGTAATAAATGCCAGAGAGACCTGCAAGGGAAACTATTTTCAGACAGCTTCCGCAATCTCAACTAAGCTGAAGGAGTGCTTCACTCTGTCAGTCCAAGCAAAGCATTTCAAATCGACAACAAATGACCAAAGTGAACAGGGAATGAAAGAGGAGCTGAAAACATTGATTTCCTCTCCGAATGTCTGCCCTACAGAAATGCACCAAGTCTTTGATTTTTGAGATGAGGAAATAGCCCCATAGATCCTTAAACATGAAATGAACTATGGGGAGACGTTCCCACACTGCGCACTGAAACCTCACCACCACCCTGACAGGTCTCCTAACCATTATAGGGACAGCAGAGTGCAACTGGGAGGTTTGACTCCCATAGACACAACTACATGCAAAGGTTGCTTTAGAACTTTGCTGTGAAAAAACATCCAGCAGCAGTTGGGTACCCCAGTCTATGCATAAAAGGAAAACACAGCAGTTCACCAAGGTGATGAACACACAAAATTCCAAAAGTCCTCATTCCCCAGTGTGCTGGAAAGGCTGAACAGAGAGGATTTTCCCTAATACATGCTACTAATTTTGCAGATCTTGCGCATGGTACTTGGGATGCTGTTGCTGCCTGGAAGTACAGGAACAGAAAAATACTGAGGCAGTGAAGTGGTGCATGAGCTGAAGAACAAGCACAGTGCGAGAACTGACACATAAAACTGAGAAGGAAATTTCCCTCAGCCTTAGTCTAAAAGCCATGGATCATGTAGCAGCTGTCAGGGAAAAGATACAAAGGTGTGACACCACAAAACAAAAAGCAGCAGCTCTTGGAAGAGCAAAGTCAGCACCCCAGCACAGGAGCTGAGCTCACCTGTACCAGCCAAGGGTCCTTGGGGGCCACCCCATCACAGGGGATTCCTGGGGGCTGCCCCACCACAGGGGACACAGCAGCAGAGCTCCAGCCATACCCGTGCTGACAAATGGAGCTGCGGGAGAGGCTCTGCTGCACCCAGACAGCTACACACCAAGCTGCTGCCTCCTCTGAAATCAGACTGCTGAGCTCCAGAGGGGTGCTCCTGCCCCCAGAGGGAGGTAAATAGCCCCAACAATTGCACACAGCTGTGGTTTCACCCCAGCCTCTGATCTTCATGGCTTCACCAGAATAATGTGCATACCCATTAATCCATTGGGTTTCTGGGCTTGCATTTACCTGTGTGTGTACCACGTATGTCCACGCTGTGTATGCTCACGCTGCCTTTGTGGTATATATTATCCCCATCTGGCTTTCTCTTGCCTCTGTCTTCTCGCAGCTGCTGCCCATCAGCCACTACTGAGTTCATGGCATTTTTTCAGCAGATAACTGAACTATTCTGTTAATTTTACTTGTCTTTTTTCTTCTTCTTGCTTAAAAAAAAAAAAAAAAAAAAAAAAAAAAAGGTTATTTCTTTTGGTATTCTTCCCAAATCAATAAATTTATTCAGCCCATCTGTTCTGACTTCAGCATGCTCTCCTTTAATTTGCAACTATTTGTTAAAATACCAGAAATGTAATTATTCCAAAAATGCCACAGGTGTAAGAGATACTTAGCATAAAAACATAAAAATAAATCAAGGCAATGTTTGAATAGTTTAAAATCAAAGTTTACCTTGTTAACCTGAAAAGAAAGAAGGCAGGGAGAAGAGGACTGGCAAGGTTAAGTGAAGGTCTGGCAGATGGTGGCGGCACCAAGGGACTCAGAGGTTCGGGACTGCAGCAAGGAGGCAGGGGGCAGCTGAGATGTGCAGAGCCCACCTGGGGACATGGCTCAGCCAAGAAGAAGGAGTTTCCATCACAGCCACAAGCACGCAGTGGCGGTCCCTGTGCGCTGTCACCTGCATTTAGGGAGCTGGCAGCTGAGCAAAGGGCGTGCAGCAGGGTCTGCCCTTGCTGAGCTCCCATGGGGAGCTCGCCGCGGTCGGTGCCAGAGGTGGGGCAGATCAGCTCCCCACAGACCACCCAGAAGAACCTCACCAAGAGGCAGGGAAGAGCTTCTCCCAGCTCCTCTTGTGACACTGACCTTACTGCTTTTCCCATTGTAATGTTAACGCGTTGTGGAACACAGAAAAGTTCATTAAAACTGTGCGTTATCTCCCTGAGAACTTTAATCTTCCAAGGCCAGAGGACCGTTGGCTTATTGATGACTCTGGTCACACATGGGCAGAAGGCTGAGGAGCACCTTGAGGGCTCCAGCAACACATTTCTGGTGTATGATGCCCTGTGTTGGCCGTACAACAAGTCGGTGCCTTCCCACCCAACGCAGGGCAATTCTTTAGGTTTTATATCAGAGTAAGTCGGCTGTTCGCTGCAGCTTTCCTTAGGAGCAGCTTCCCAAAATTGCTCACTAGTCGTCTTTGTAACTCTCCACAGTTCCTTGGGAGCACAATGTCTGCATGTTTGCTTTAAAGGGATGGCTGCAGCTACCCACAATGTTAGCACCATTTAGCCCTTCTATGCAAGAGGCTAAATTACACGTTACGTGTAGAAGTATAAATGCTAACTAATTTCAGAGAAGCACTGCGGCTGGGGCTCATACATAATTAAATTCCAGAATTCCAACGCTAAAATGATCTTAATGCAAAATTAAAGGTCCCATTTTAATAACGCCATCAATATTTTGAAGCTTTGGGGCTTGGTATTTCAATGCCATTCAGCAAGAGCAAGAGCTGTTGTCTCAAAGGGAGCTCGTGGCCGCTTTCTCCGTGGTGTATCCCCCGCGGGGGGCTGTTGGCACCAGGGGCTGGCTCCCCACACGTGTGCCCTGGGGCCAGCCCGGGTGGGGTCAGGCAGCGCCTGCCGGGAGCCCCCAGGCGGTATCAGCCCAGCCTGGCCCCTGCTCCCACTGCCTCTCGCTGCTGGCCGATGCCCCTCGGCACGGCACCCAGCGTAGGGCAGTGCTGAACTCAATGCCTCTCCTTACTGAACATCACCAGCCGCGTGTCGCTGCTCCCCCTTTTTCTCTGCTGCAAAGCCGAGGACGTGGCTGTCTTCATGGTTGTTGTTTCCATGGTTTTCCAACATTAGGCAGCTTTTACATTAAAAAAGATAACGGTTTGATATGCTGCTCGTTACAGTCTTGATATCTGTTGTGTTTATTTTCAGGGGATCTGAAAGCCTTTTCTTTGTCTCCTTCTAGTCTCTGCTGTTACCAGATGTTTGTTTTTTCAATGTTTGGTTAATTTTACTTATGCATTTAACTCCATCCAGGAGAAACAGTCACCAGCTTCTGGGGAAATGACAGAAAGGGAAAGGCAGGAAGCCAAGCCCTGGGTTTGCTTTGCTCCGTTTCTAGGTTTTTCTGTCGGAGCCTGGCACTCCATCACAAAATGCCAGTTAGACTTACTGTAACATATTAACTCTTATTCACCATTAAAGCTCCCAAATCTTTTCGCGTTATGGAAGCTGCATGGGAAAGATGAACTTCAGAAACTTATTTCAGAACTTGTGAGGGATTTTAAAGGCTTAACCGAGCGGCTGTCTGCAGGTCTGAGGCTGAGGAGAATCGCATTATCTGGCTCCCGCGATGGCTGCTGCAGGTCACATCCAGCGCTCTCCCCCCTGCCCGCTGCACTCTCACTTGGCTCATCCGCAAATCGGGGTCACAGCCGGCCTGGGGGCCAGAGCATCACCTGGAAAAAACAACCCGCATCACTGATGTGATTGTTAAACTTAAATTAGGAATAAACATCTGTAAATAAATAAATAATGCACACGTATATTATTTATCTTACTATCTTTATGTATATGAACATTATTTTGTTATATGCACTTCATTATATATATTTTTAACACGTAGACAACTGGATAATTTTCTTGAAAATGTGTATTCTGCTTTTCCTTATACATATTTCTTCTTACCTAGAAATAGATATATAAAGCAAATATGCATAACTATGCAAAATCATTACTTACATGTTTTATATATTTAATTTTAATGTTATATACAATATATTAAACTGATAAATATTATAGATATATTAGATATAGGTATATTAGATTTTATATGTATAAAAAATGCAGCCTCCATTTCTGGTTAGCTATGTAACTACATATATTTATATGGGTGTAAGTACCTTGTTTTCTGCTGAAAAAATTGACTTCTATTCATTCCATTCGATCAGAAAACTCCCTTTTTAAAAAATTCACATACGTAAAATACATTCCTGCAAAACATTAAACAGCATTTCACTGTCAATGTGGTGATTCAAGATACCATTGCTGGAACAATCATGAACATTGAGCAGACATTTTATTGGATTTATTTGATAGCTTGAAACACTTTGAAGGCTGCTTTTAAAAAATACAAACATTTTATTGTGATCAGAGGAAAGCACTTTGATATTGCCAATGTTCTTCTTTTTAAAATTTTTGCACTCTATGGGAATTTGAGAAATTTCAATTTTATGTCAGTTTGATAGGAAATATATATCTATATGATTTATAGGGTACATATGATTTATTTTATAACACGTACAACACGTACTACATATCACTATAAGATCACTACTGCGATTCTGTGATATATCCCATGTATACAACACAAAGCTCACCTTTGGGTTGGGTGTTGGTGGGGGCTGTCATTGAGCTGTGCCCCCCCAGCCACTGTGCTGCCCCGTGCCTGCACCTCTGTGGGGCTGAGGGGGGCCGAACAGAGACCTGGGGACTGCCCGGGCTTTGCTTCCCTCTGCTTGAGCCACCTCATCTCCAGTTAACTGCCAGCGAACCCCACCACAACTCGAGCCGATTCATCTCAATTTGCCTTGCCCCACATCCGCAGATTTTGTGCTGGTGGCTGCGTTTCACACAGGCTGTGCTGGTGCTCTCAGAGGAGCTGGCCCTGCGCTGTGGGTGCTGCGGGAATTTGTCTGGGAAGAGGCACAGAAACAATTGGCCGTGTTATCAGCACAGTGGCGCTGTGAAGAAACACTTCCAAGCTGAGCCAAAACTCACACCAGCTAGGGTTTTATGTCATATAATATACATATTATACATTTCATATAGACTACATAATATATACGCTCCAATATATTATGCTATGTTACATTATATATAATATATACCCATATTGCTGTGTGAGGCCGCAGGAGTGTGCTCACAGTGAGGGGCTCCAGGTGACAACTACCACGACTCGGTGGAAGTACTCAGAGCATCCTTCCTGCTCCGCTGGGCCTGAGGCACAAACACGAGCACGGTGTGGGGAGCCATGCCCCACCACGCACGTCCCAGCAGTGTTACACAGGGTTTGCCCATCTCTTGCAGGATGCTCCAGCACGGCACAGGCAGGAACAGGCGAGGTGAAGGGCTGCAGTGTGCTTGGTACAGCCAGGCAGGAGGAGAGCTGCTGGGGCAGAGCAGAGTTAACAGGGTTGTTGTCTGTGGGGAAATTATAAAGAGCAGCCTGCATCAAGTGGAATCAGCCCGGGTACGAGTCTCATTGGGGAAGAATTACAAGAGCACTTTAATGAGGAGCCTTCTGCTGTTGGGGAGAGCTCCCAGCACTCAGCCAGGGCTGGGCACTCAGAGGAATCTCCATCATGCTGTTACAGCAATAAATACCTCAAAGAATCACATTATTATGGAAAAGCTGCGATTTCAAGAAGCAAATTGGCAAACTAAAGAAATTAGTTGGAATCATGAGTGTAGGGACTAGAAGCCAGGCATGAAATTCATGAAATTGAATCACAAAACTTCGCGTAGCTCCTCTCTGCGAGGCTGGGACGAGCAGAGCCTGGGGCTGTGCCCACGGGAGGGCTTCCCTGCGCACACACCTGGGCTTTGCAGGCAGAGAGGTTGGTCCCGCTGGTCCGGGCATTGATAAAACACCAGCTGGGAAACAATCAATAAAATCAAATCTTAAAAAATCGGTAAAGCAGCATGTAACTAAGCAAAATACACAAGCGTTGGCACTGCTCTTCTTTCACCTTGCTTGCTTTTGCTTAATATTTGAGCAAACAATGAAAAGGAGATTAGAATATGTACTTTGATTGCCATAACTTTATTATAAAGCTGAAGATGT